CAAGTACTAACCTACTAGCTAAAGCCAGCAAGGCTAGTTAGCAAGCTGCATGAATAAAATGCACAACAATCAGAATAACAACTCTTACTTTGTGCTCAGCAGCATTCTAGACTAGGTTAGGATTTTACTCACCCAAACTAAAGCACAGACTTCTTGGATATTTTCAATTACACGAGATAAATAATTTTTAGCCTCAGAGGCTGTGACTCGGCATTATTTCCCTGGATATAGAAATGATCCAGACTAGTTAGCTGACATTATTTCTTGAGGGCATCAAGATGATGTCTCCCAGTTTTACTTATTTCATTATGATAGATATTTGGACAGAATAACTCTTTTTATACTCTTTACGGTGAAGAATCCTTACAGAGAATCGTGGTTCCTGATCTGAATGTCTACACTGGGCCAAACCTCTGAAGATTTTTATGTCAATTCATCTGTAAATTTGATGTGGTCCTGAAACCAAACAGACCGAACTGAACTAATCACATCACCAACATGCATTTCCATTAAAATTAGTAAAGAAACCAAAAACCAAAAAAATCAATTGGCCAAATTAGGATTTCTATGCTCAGCAGTGCCTGTGACGAACAGTACACGGCCTTTTGTCAGTTCTGTGACATAAAGCATCTCATGACAGAAACTTGAACTCTCACATAAAACTGTTCTGACATTATTATGGTCATCAGACCACAATTTAAATTTTTTAAGTGCGAAAAAAAAAGAAAATAAAAAATATCATTATATGTTGTGAAAAGAGGGAAAAAACATCTGGAAACGAGGGTTCAGTTTGATAAGTGAAGTTTCGAAAGACCAGTCAATGGTGACATGAACTGAGTGGAGCTGTTGTAAACGAATGCCTGACATGTGAAAACATCTTATTTACCCTCGTCCACGTCGGCCTCTGATGATGGCGCCCCGCCCCCCTGGGGTTATGACCCTGAGGTTAAAATGGTGACAGATGACAGATAATCTTACCTTTCAGACATCCGTTTAGAAAGTTTCTGAGACTCAGTTTATCAGAGGTCTAACGAAACAAGCAAAGAAAGACTTAATTTACAGGTTTGAAGTGTTAGCGCTCGCAGTGAAAGTGAATCGGTTCTTGTTAATGTGACTATTAAGGGAAGCTGTGTGTCTCCTGTTTCTTTTTGCTTGTTACTAAACTGTACTAACTCTAAAATTCAAGCTCCATCAAACCTCCACGAGTAGCAGTTCAACAGTAACCCTGCTTTTTGAAAAAGGCCACAAGTACCTGACACGTCAAGCTCAACTGCCAGAAAACACTTTCAAAGAAAGAAAATTGAACGTCTCATTTGGAAGAAAAAGTTGATGGTCTAATGCTGGAAAACGCTCCAAAGCCTTTCACATAGCTGCCCTGATAGATCCTGTATCTGATTATTATTCCTCTGAAGAATAATTTGCACTGATTTGAATTTTACATTCAGTTTATGAGCAGACATTATTAAAATATCATTTTTACCTTATCTGTTATTTGAGAACAATGAATCTTCTGGAGGCACAAATATTTCTTATTTAAACAGCTGGATTTGAGGTCAAACATCATGATGGTGAAATACTGGCTCCACATCTGATTGGGTCACTTGTAAGATTGTTTCCAAGACTTGTCACAAATACACACCTCAGATTATAAAGCACTGTGCAACAAAGTGTCACCTCGAGTCACCTCGATTTCATTAACATTGGAAGTAGGTGCAGCGATTTATGAACAGATGTTCTGATATAATCTGGCAAACTTCCTTCAGATTGTCTTCAGCCGCCTTTCCCCTGATAACATTTCTGCTGAAGCTTGAATAGCAGATGGATCAAATAAAGACCCAGATGCTTTTCTCAGGTTCTCTGTTGGGTCTTTGCTAGATTCTCTTCCTGTTTCTTAAGGACACGACTTCAGACACTGTTCATCTGAAGCAGACAGGTTTTTGTTTTAGGCATACACTGCACACTATGATGAGATATATCAAGTTGCTGGCTAATAGCTCTTTGGTAATCACCTTGTTAATACAAAAACACATTTTTATGTTTTCTTTTATAAATAAAAAATAGATAAAAACGTTTAGAGATGAGTGGCTTAACAAACAAAAACATTGTTTTGCTGCAGATAACTTGAAAAATACAAGATAATCTCCTTTGGAAACAAAAAATAAAGAGATGAGGGAAGCCTCAAGGCTGTGGCCTGTGCACAGATGTAGAATTAGGCATGCATCATTCAGTACGATAAAACTTAAATGTCCAGGTTTGTGTTAATAAACTGTGGTTATCATTGTTCTGTGGGCTAAACTGCTTCCTTTCACAACAGTAATGCTACACATCAAAAAACAGCCTCGTCTCTCTGAGGAGGCGAATCAGTTAACAAATAAAGGGTGTAAAAAACATTCCTGTTACACAGACTTTCATTAAAGGTCTGCTTTTTAGACAGATCAATGGATGGCAGTGTTTTCTACTGACTTCATGTTCTGTCAGTGTGAATATGACTGAACATATGCAATGTTAAGAGGAAGCACTGAGATTAAAACAGCAGGTGAAAGAGCAAGATGTGGAAAAACAGAAAGGACAGA